GATAGTAGGGATGGCTATTATGTAGGGATGTGTAATATCAATATCTTAAAAACAATGCAAATAAGATAGTAGGGATGGCTATTATGTAGGGATGTGTAATATCAATATCTTAAAAACAATGCAAATAAGATAGTAGGGATGGCTATTATGTAGGGATTATGCAAATGCATCCCTCCTATTTTGTTTGCATTGTTTTTAAGATATTGATATTACCCATCCCTACATTTACTTACTTTTTGAAAAGTTTTTTCTTTACTTGTATTAATAGAAATGTGTACAACTTAAAGACATAAAATATATGGTTTATATTAACGTAGGGCTATATGGTAAGGAAGGAAATGATAAGACTTTTAACAATTTTAAGTTGACCATTGTCCATTATTTTCACGCCGTTTCTAATGAGCTTCTTGCCACAACTTGCTTCGAAATACATGTAGTCCACTTTCTCAGACGTCGTGCATTTTTAAATGCATGGAATAAACCCTGTTTGGACCATCTCTATAAAATATTAAAACTACCATTATAGCATCTTGGACCGGTCAGTCTATTAGATGTTGTTGTTAAACTGCTAACTAAACGCTCTTTCTTAGAGAGCTATTAGAGTCATAGTGGGAGTGAGACCAGCTGGCTCTCTTGGCTGATCAAATGACAATCTAGCGTGACCTGTGACAGTTTTCTTTCACTCAACTGAAGAGCTGTTTGTTTGAAGGGCTTTTAAAAATAGCGTACAGTGTTTTAGTCATTTAAGTAGCAAACACTTTCATTAAAATTTTATAAATTCAAGTAAATCATTACATCAACTACTTTTTTTTCTTTCATTCAGATATAAAATATACAATCTCAAATAAAAATGGTCATTAACAACTAAGGATTATAATTTGAAATAACTAGAACATTGAAGAATGTCAGTCATACTCTGGATTACAAAACTAAAGTGCTAAGTGCATAAATAGAACAGCTTTTCCATAAAATATTTCTTACCTAAAATCTCGAAGTACATTTGCTGTTGGCATACTCAAAAACTAATACAGTGCGAAACTATAATCTATCTTGTAGCTCGAAAGTACAATTTAATGCTGTCTTATTGGTCAGAATTTCTGTCGTCCAGGGTTTCTTTTCTGTTATCCATAAGGAGATTATTAAAAAAAACTACAATACCCTACTAAATCACATATGCAAAAATGTGTAGATGAACTTACCTGCCTTTGCAAAAGGGCCTTGTAAAGGCGAAAAATATGTTTCATGTGTATGACTTGCTTTCAACAAATTATTATGTTTCATGTGTATGACTTGCTTTCAACA